CTCGTGGTGACACATGGGTATGGGTGGCTAGGCCCGCCGCGCCGCCCTATTTGTTCAGGTAGGGTCGGGCTAGGCGGCGGGTGGGTGTTTGTTCAGTGTGTTGTGGCGGCGACGGCTGGCACAGGACCTGGTGGATGATGCGGGAACCAGCTGTTGTTATCTTACACTCCCACACCACCACACACACACCCATCTCGTCTTCATCCTCTTGTTCACATTGGTTCATGATGTGAGTCAAGACTGTTTGATCACCAGGACTTAGAGTGTGTCGTGGAGGGAGTAAACATTGACTGATAATTTCTTTAATCACTCTGTACTTACTCTTCAGTAGCTCATGATCCGAGTACCTTATGGTGCGAATTTACTCAGGTTGATTCCGTAGTCAAGGAAGTCCTGGAGAGAGACGAGAGAGGCCTACAATTTACTCTGTATGTATCAAGTGTTTTGTGAGATCTTTTGTGACGTGTTTATTATTAATGATGTTTTGTTTTTTTTAGAAAGAGAATAATTATCCAGTGTCCTCAAAACCAGTTAGGTTATCCCATGATCAGAGTGGCGCCTCTCCTGATCCCTATATAAGAGAGAGAGAGAGAGAGAGAGAGAGAGAGAGAGAAGAGAGAGAGAGAGAGAGAGAGAGATACTTCGTAGAGCCAGGAAGTTTAGGAAGAGGAAGTGTAGGAAGCAGGACCTGGCGCAACTCGCAGTTCACATTGCGGAACCTTACGTCACCACACCGACGCTATGATAGCTGGTTGAGGTGGTGATGAGTTTCCCTTCAGAGAGGCGGACGTATCAATTATCAGCTGTTACTGTACACGTGTAGCTTATCAACTTACGATTCTGCATAATATAAAATTGAACTGTAATTTATTGAGTAACGGAATACAGTAATTGTATTATCATAATTATGATAGTAATAACAAACAATAATGATAAATAACTGGTGATGATAGTTGCAGTAGAAGCAATTTATCATTATTATTCTTGTAAAGATAACAGTATTTAATGAAGAGAATCATCGCACATAAATTGTTTCCGTCACAACAGTTCAGGAGTTGATCTTTTTAATACCCTTTTCCCTCATCACACTGGGGTGGTCTAGTGCTCTAGTGGGTACAGCGATCGCCTCCTATCCTGAGGGTCACTGGTTCGTTTCTAGGGCACTCCCAGTTGACCCGGTTGTAAAGGGGTACCTAACTTACAAGTTGAGTAAGTGAAGGCGGTCTATTAGAGCTCCAGCCACGTGAAGGCTTATTACACAGTGTGCTTTATCTACACCGTCCCTAACTTATGTAACGGACCGTCATGCCATGGGACTCACTTTCACATTATCGCATATCACATTACAGTAGATTTAAATCGTTGTATTGTAGAGGAGGATTTGTTGAGTATGAGTGAAATGAGGGAATGGCGTTATTTGAGGTAGAGAAGAATTTAAAGTTTGGGGAGAGACGGGGGGTCGCTGCTGGGGCTACTGTTGACACGAGGACACCTAGCAGTATGGGGGGGGGGTTCCTTAAGGTGTTCTTTCGAGCCCTCATACAGGATGTTGGGCTCCTGCAGGTGGTAAACGCCCTTGGTGGACAGGAACTGGTAATGGGGTTTATAATGACGCTGTTAATGGTGTTGCAGCTTCTGGAGGGTGGCTGTTGTGACTGCATTTCTGGTTGTGTTACTGTGCATGTTGGTACAGTAGAGGTACAGTTATCGCCCACAAGGTAGTACCAGTAGTGTGCGATGCCCCTCAAACTGTAATACTCACGGCCGCCTGGTACCTGCCAAAATAGTACCTTGATGGCGTTTAATTACAGTCAACTCCAGGGTTATAGCAGCGGGTCGAGGCCAGGCCAGGTTGTAGCAAGGTCACCTCATCGAGATAAACACCAGATCTCGGGTACCATTTCCCCCCTTTTGAGTCACACGAGTAATGGCTGAGGTGTTTCACTATAGGCCACTCGCTGAAGACCCACAGATCCTAATTACCCCGTGTTAGGTAAAAGCTTCGTTTATACTTCGCGGTGAAACTAACTGTGCTATTTTTTTACTTAAGCATACTGTAGTTGTTTATATAATCTCACATCTACATTAAATAAACGAGAGAAAGTAGCTGTTTTGGCTTGACTTTTAGATATTGGTCGTGACGAAGATTTGGACGCGTCATCCGCCCCTCTCCTTCTCCAGTCGTTGTAGCTCCGTGTAGCAACAACCTAGATCCTGCTCTACTGCCCTGTCCTGCCACCTGGAGCGTGTTCCCTTCCCGCCTCCCACACGTGACAGTGACACGTGCTAGGGAGTTGAGCGGGTGGTATTAGGGGCCTGAGTGGGTGGTATTAGGGGCCTGAGTGGGTGGTATTAGGGGCCTGAGTGGGTGGTATTAGGGGCCTGAGTGGGTGGTGTTAGGGGCCTGAGTGGGTGGTATTAGGGGCCTGAGTGGGTGGTGTTAGAGGCTTGAATGGGTGGTATTAGGGGCCTGAGTGGGTGGTGTTAGAGGGCTGAGTGGGTGGTGCATATGAATTCAGTAGGTGAAAAATATAAAGTAGTTAGTATGAGGGAATCTTTGTAATGTGTCAGTAGGTGTGTGTGTGTGAGAGAGAGAGAGAGAGAGAGAGAGAGAGAGAGAGAGAGAGAGAGAGAGAGAGAGAGAGAGACGGTTGGTGGTGTATAGGATGACCTGCTCGACAACCTCGTGTGTGTAGGTTGCTCCCCCGCACCTCCCCACCCTCCTCTAACTAGCACCCTCCTCGTCTCTCCTTCATTTCCTCTTCCTACTCCTCCTCTTCCTCCTTCTCTCCCACCTGTGACTATGGCTGTTATTGGTGCTGTTACTTTCCCTTCCTTCGTCAGTAGTATAGTTTCTGTTGGTCTTCTTGCCGTAGCCGCTGTCCTGTTGGTTCTTCTCCCCAAGTCCAGTTCCTTCGCACGATTGGGATATTTTTTTCAGTTTACGTCACGTTTTTGTTTGTTTGTTTGTACTAAATTATATTAAGGTGAGTTAGTTGGGAAGTAGCAAATGTGATTGTTTTTTTTAGCTTACATCGCCTGCCATGATTGGTGGTGATGACTTAATGGTGTAGTATGTCGTGATTGGTGATGATGGTGGTGACATCGTGGTGTAATGTGTCGTGATTGGTGGTGGCATCATGGTGTAGCGTATCTTGGTGGTGGTGTCAGAGGATAGGGAGAGTAGTGGAGGCGTTAGGCCTATTAGTGAGGGGAAACGAGGCGGGAGTGGGAACACAGAGGTAGTGAGGGGAGGGAGGGACGCTGTACACGACGCCGTCAGTAATAACCTACCTGGGCTCCGCCGCACCTTGCTAAAAACAACCTAATCTTCCTGTTATTTTGCTCATGGCTGACTGCCGTGTACTTCAGCTACGTGAGTAAACAGTGAATCAACTCCACATGTAGTGATCCTTTCTGCTTCACCAGTATCAACCAGACTGTAGTGGTTGGGTTGGGTTGCGGTGCGGGCGGCGAGCAGTTACAGCCTGATTGATCAGGTTGTTACCTGGAAACTTGGCTGCACACCGAGCGTCGCCGCTGGAATCCTCGCCGGGAAACTGTAGACAAATGACTTCTGGTGTAAGATGCGATAAGTGACTCTTGGATGACGTGTAGATGAATACTTGAACTATCTACCTGCCCGCGTAAGTAACTCTCTTACCGGCAGTAGAGCGCGGGGAGCCTACAGGGGGAGAGGGAGGGGTGGTGCACCATCGTGAGTGTACTGTAAATGGCGTGATGGGGGGGACCCGTTAGCCTGGGTGGCGTAGCTGGTGTGTTGAGATGGTGAGAATGGCGGTATCAAGGTTGATGATGGACCGACAACTATGTTAGCCACCGCTCCGGAATGATTGTTGACATCCGCCCATTGTTCCGAGTTGATGACTGCCTGAGCACTGATGGGCGGGGACTAGTGTGGTGTAATGTGGTAGAGGTGTGGTAGGGATGTATACTGTGGCAGCATGCTCGACTACCGGGTGTGTTGTGTTAACGGTGCGAGGAGGATGGCAAGGTGTGGGTGGGTGGTAGGAAGGTGTGGTTGTTGTGGTAAGGTGGTGATGTGTTGATGGGAGGGAGATGTGGTGTAGGGGAGGGAGATGTGGTGTAGGGGAGGGAGATGTGGTGTAGGGGAGGGAGGTGTGGTGTAGGGGAGGGAGGTGTGGTGTAGGGGAGGGAGGTGTGGTGTAGGGGAGGGAGGTGTGGTGTAGGGGAGGGAGATGTGGTGTAGGGGAGGGAGGTGTGGTGTGATCATACAGGTGTCACTGTTTAATTGTTATTATCAGTAGCAGTAAACAGAGTAGGTCTTATATTGTCTCTCCTGTCTTGTAGTTGTTGACATCTGAATTACCGCTGCCATTGACCAGGTTCATTCACATACTAATGAGAAACGCACTTATCCCTTGTGGCGACTTTTACTGTCTTAAAACATTCACTCGGTTTTTATTTATGAATTTTAAAGCCCTCAGCTGGCGCATGTTGCTGAGAGAGGTGAAGTTTTATAAGTCAATTGGGCCCCAGCTCTAGTAGACCTCAGCCGAGATGTACCGTGAGGTCTGGTTAATATCAGTTGGGGCCTATTAGAACCAGGGCCCATTTGTCCAGATATTAAGAAGTAACTCGGATGGAGGAAGCGGGTTGTATAGCATCTCTAAACTGGACGCCACCCCTCTCTCACACCTTGAAGGGCACTTGAAACCTTGTTGATTCACCGATAACCCGCCCCGTGAATCACACACTTGGCGGTGTACTGCTTCCCCCCTTGACCACCTCCTTATACCAGGTGATTAAGACCGTAGCTGTGGCCTGGTGGTAGTGGCTGATGCTGGCGTTGGCTCAGATGGTGTCAGATTTTATTTATTTTTTTCAAAGTCTTTTAAAGTTTCAAATAACATGCGATGTTTAAATAAATAAATAAATGTGTGTGTGTGTGTGTGCGTGCGTGCGTTTCTTGTTTACGTTCAGTGTTTGTGTTTACTGAAGGTTTGTTATGGTTGCAGGTGTGGCTACAGTGTGATGCCCCGACGCTGCTGTTGGTGGCACTCTTCCTCACCTTGAACACAGACGGTCAGTGCTCTTCCCATTCTGGTGCTGTGTTTCATCTCCCATTCTTCTCTCTCGTGTTCTCTATCTTATCTCTATAACCATCAAGAAGAAAGAAATTACAGTACAGAGGAGGTTGTGTCATGTCCCCGGCTCGTCAGTCATTGTTCTTATTAAGGAATGAAAAAAAAACACCGTTATTATTTACGCTTTTTAATCTATAACAACACAACTCTCTACACAATTGGTCTTATATTTAACATTCATGGCCAGGTGCTTCTCCAGGCGAGCTACTTAACTCCTTAACACCTGTAAATAACCGCAGTTTACAATTAGACGTTATTTTCACCTCACACTTCCCCGGCCGCAGACTCTGATTACGGAAGTTGTTTGATCTTTGTTTGGGTACGAATTCAGTCGTTAGAGAACAGGATGACTCGGCGGGTGATGATATTATGGAGCCCACTATTAAAGTCGCTCCTTCTGCAGGCTGTGTTACTGTAGTTTGTTAATACTGAACACCTGAGGCAGCTTCCGGAGGCGTCACTGTATCCTGCCTGTTGTTGTTGTGTTGTTGTATTGTAGATATTGTTGTTAATGTGTTGGTGTTGTTGTTGTTAAGTAGGTATTGTTGTTGTTGTGAAGTAGGTATTGTTGTTATTGTTGATGTACATTAATTATCCCTCGCTTAACGCCACTTCCGGAGAGTAACAAATAAAAAAAAAGTTTGATGTATAAATTAACTTGTGGTAAAGAGGCAGTTGTTCGATGCAGGTGACGCTCTAATTGTTGTTATTTCCGGTTGTGGTGGTGGGGGGTGGGTGTAAATTTTTTTGTTATTGTTGGTGTATTTAAATTAATTATTGTTCTTGTATAATCAGTAGGGACAGGTGTATTTATAATTCTGATCTAAACAATTACATGATATTTTGTGTGTGTGTGTGTGTGTGCGCGTGTGTGTGTGCTTTTTTTTTTAATGGTTCAAAGTAACTGTTAATGTTATCTGGTAATGGAGATGACCCTTGGCTGCTTGCTCCCTCCACACACACACACACACACACTTACTTCACGCTTTCGAGTTATTAAGGGCAAAGGTTTGATGCTGGGTAGGTACGTGGCACTCACCCCGGAAGCCAGTCATCAGGCCCACCACTCGATTCCCCAGCTATCTCGCTCAGTTCAACCCAAGATTATGTGACGTTTTTGAACTTGGGATTATGTGAGTTTTTTAGGCAAAGAATGTGGGTTTTTTTAGAGGTTTTGAGCCAAGGGTGAGGTTTTTAAGTGTGTGCGTTCGTGCGTTTATTTATTGCATTTATAATATCATTGAACCTAACCCCCAAAATTTTATCCCCCTTTTATATTTTTTTACGAATGATTTTTATTATTTTTTTAAGCCACCAAATTTTACCCTTTTTTCCGTTTTGATGCAGTGATGGAGGGGCTATTTTGGTAAGGGTGGCGGCCGCACTTTTAAATGCGTGTTTGGTGCGGGTAAACGAACCGAATATGTAGCGTGAACCGAACACCTGTTATTGAGGGTTATTTTTTTTTATTATTATTGACTTTTAGTGTTATTGTGTCGTGTTATCTCTCTCTCTCTCTCTCTCTCTCTCTCTCTCTCCGGGACGCTCGTTACCTGCCTCGTTAACTTCGTCATCAAGGAAGTCTTTGTCGTTTCCCTCATCGTCCCTCCCCGGTGGTGGGTCTTGTCCAGGGTCGTTGTTTCGAGTCCTAGGTCGTTGTGTCGTGTCCTAGGTCTTTGTTTCGAGTCCTAGGTCTTTGTTTCGAGTCCTAGGTCGTTGTGTCTTATTCTACAATCTACAACTTATCAATCACCGTTTACAGTTACTCATAAGACAAGACAAGACTTCAAACTCGTGAACTCCCAACAACGGCGAACGTTATTTTATGCCTCGTGTGACTTCATTTACAGTTATAATTGAGTAGGAGATTATTACATCCTCGTGGTTGTTAAGCATGAAGGGAATGTGTTCTGCCTCGGGGTTATACTTCACCTTTGTAGACTGTGATGTGACGATGGGGAGGGCGGCGGGAGGTGAGATCACATAGTTGAACGTGTTGTAAGATGGTGGTTGAACTTGAAGGAATTGGAGACTAAAGGGGCTGTTATGTTGGGGGGAAAATTACCTCCGTTTGTCATTGTCATTCCTCAGTCCTACGTTCAAGAAACTTCAGTCCCAATTACACTAATATTTATCGCCCCGTTGTTATTCCTCCGTCACTCTAATCAAAACAATAACACAGTTGGCCGCGCGTCAGGTTGTTGTCAGCCGTACAGGATGGCACGTAAATGGTTTGTTTAGACTTTAATTGCAATAAATGTATGTAAAGAAGAGGACTCAGGCGTAAACGGGTGTGGCTTCAGCTTCTTTTGATGTAAACAACCAGGACCGTGTTCATAGTGTTTACTTTAATGCGCGGATTCTGTTGACTATGTTCACGGTTTATGAACTACCGTAGCGATTTTTTGTTATGTACCTGTAGTGTTCGTCTTGTATGTCTGTCTGTCCGTTCAACCGCCCTTACAAAAGAGCGTCCTTTATCCACCTTGTTTTGGTTTTCAGGTTATAGTTCACGTCAGAGTTAACGTGTCTGGACCATACATTGTACACAAGTTTTTCAACACCAAAGTAGCTGTCAATTTTCAGGTCAGTGGTTCTAAGGATGAGGCTATTGGCCACATGTGTTTGAAACATTTGCTCTCGTTAAGGAAAACATTGGCAGTGTTCATCTTATTATTTAGTCTATGTTAGCACTGTTTACATTGCTTGCACTCTTGGCTTACTACACTATTGAGACCAGTTTGGGAGTGTGTACGGTACGTCACTGTCAGAACCATTATATATTGCATTTGGGACTTACATGTGGCAGTTAGGAAAAAACGTTTATCAGTTTTACAGATGGGTTGATAACAGCTTGGCAATGTTTGTATCACCGTAAGAGAGTATATTGTTTTCGATTTTTTTTTTTTACGTTACACCAAGAAGCATTGTTCAGTAAATATCGACAAAGTTTACAGCTTTGTTGGGGACACATGAACTGTTGGTTGTACTGTGAGTATATTTGTTAATCATGTTTATATATAAAAAAACTCATGTTGACAGTACTTATTTTACTGTTGAGACCATATTGGCAGTGTTTACAACGCCACCAAAACACTGATTATAATATTTACAGCAGTGTTGAGACTATTGACAGTGTTTACACCACCGCTTAACACTTATTTACAATATTTACAGCAGTGTTGAGACCATATTGACGATGTTTACAACAGCCTTTAAATCATATACACACTATTTACAGCCGTTTTGAGGCCACAGGTGCACTACTTGATCCCTCTGGCAATTTGTTGAGCTGTTTAGTAATTAACACACCTGGAGAGTGAATGGTGAGAGGCGTTGGAGGGAGGGATGTTGAGGGGCGCAAAGTGTTGGTGAGATGGAGGGAGGGAGTGGTTGGGTGTGATGGGATGCAACAGGGGTGGGGATAGAGGGAGGGAGGGAGTGGTTGGGTGTGATGGGATGCAGCAGGGGTGGGGATAGAGGGAGGGAGGGAGTGGTTGGGTGTGATGGGATGCAACAGGGTGGGGATAGAGGGAGAGAGGAGTGGTTGGGTGTGATGGGATGCAACAGGGGTGGGGATAGGGGGAGGGGAGGGAGGGTGTGGTTGGGTGTGATGGGATGCAACAGGGGTGGGGATAGGGGAGGGAGGGAGTGGTTGGGTGTGATGGGATGCAACAGGGGGTGGGGATAGAGGAGGAGGAGTGGTTGGGTGTGATGGGATGCAACAGGGTGGGGGAGGAGGGAGTGGTTGGATGTGATGGGATGCAACAGGGGTGGAGCTGCTCAGATACCCCGGTGAAAGAGAAAGGGCCGGGTCACCCTGCCGCCAGCACTACTCTCCCATCTGTTGCTTCTTAAACACACTACGGCCCCAAACAACATGATTTTATTACCCAAATCAAGGTCCTTAATACACCGTCAATCTGTGTTAATAACTCGGAAGATTAATATTGTTATTTTAGGTGGATATGATGTTGGTCTGTGTTTATAAATAGGACGAAGTAGAGCTAGACGAGGTGAGTGTTGCTGTCATCATGTCTGACCGCAGCTGACCTGGTCTTGTGGTATAACTAGACTGAGTTAATGCTCTTATCGTGAACCAACGCCACTACTGGCAGAAGGCTGGCGAATGTTTCGTTTAGCATGATTTTCATGAGGGTTTTACAGCAGGGTGAAGGGGAACGCCAGGCGTGTTGATTTAGTGCTCGTGCTGGCGTTGTTTATATGATAAGAAAGCGTCTGCTGGCAGAAACCGGGTGAACATTTCGCACGGTTTAGTTCTCATAAACTTGTTACAGCGGGGCGGAAGGAAATGCCAGGCGTTGAAGAGTGCTCGTGCTGGCGATGCTTATATAGTAAAGATGCTTTAACGAAAACGGCTTTGGTGATACAGTTTTTGCTGAAGTGGGGGAGGGGGGGGTTAGGGTAAGGCGGGGGATTAACCCGAGTCACTACAAAACCTCTGATCCCTTAACCTCACCTAACACCCCTTAACCTCACCTAACACCCCTTAAGGTCAATAAAAATATACCCAGCCCTGAGGTAAGCATGACCTCCCTAATCCGAGCTTTAAAACCCCTTTAATTACGACAGTTCCTTCATCACCACCATAAGTGTTAAACCTTTCATATCTTACCCTAGAACCTCTTAAACCTGTTTTACATAATAACTTTCACTAAACTGGTCATTGTTCACCCAAGACACTCACACGGCTAACACTTTAAACCTTTCACACTTCTCTATTACAACTTTCACAATTCCTCTTACACATTCAGCATTATTTCTTACGCTTCCTTTCTCACGTTTATCCTATTTATTATTCCTGACATTTTTACTTCTTTTTTTTTTGACGATCTTTCACACTTTTACAGGAATTATCACATTATTTCCTACGGTCGCACATTTCTCACTGTTTACGTCGTTGTTACCACTCTGTCACACTCACTTTCACACTATTACATCAGCTTTCGCGCTATTTGTTGCACTCACACTCTAGCACTCGAAACAACACACTCTTTTTATCATCCAAGAAGAATGTTAGGTCTGAATTTTATATAAGACAGGTTTGGTTTTGGTTAGGTTAGGTTGGGTTGGGTTTGGTTTGGTTAGGTTAGGTTAGATGTGCGTTTTAGGTTTTAGTTTACCTTGGAGGCTTGGTTTACTACCACTCCCACAGAGCTCCAGTTAATGGCCACTCAAAAGAGCATTTACGAGTCGACTCAAGGTGTTTACCCACGTGGGTCTGGAAGCTGGATCATAACAGACTCGGGGTGAGATCATGAGTACACACACACACACACACACACACACATACACATGCCTTGTCCTGCTATCTATGATCAGTATTCAGCAGCTAGTGGGTTGGTTACTTCACCTCCACGGCAGGATGGTTAGTCCACCTAAGGGTTGTTCCATCATCGTCAAGCTCACTCCTCAGTTAACTTTTTATTAATTACTTTATAAGGATTTTGGAATTGTTTTTTGTTTGTTTTTTTGTTATTGATTTATAAGAATCATCTAAGAAGGTTCAGAATGTACATCAGTATAGCTTTTGTTTTTCCTTGGGGCTGTGTGTGCGTGTTGTTGATGCGTGGCGTGTTGCTGAAGATGGCTCACAGATGTTGGGTGCGCGGTAGTGTACATAATTATGAGATGGTGTACAAGGCGCTCTAGTATTGTACATGTAATAGTGACCACGGTATTGTACACCTATTTGTGGCTATGGTGGTGTACAGTGTTTGTGGTAGTGTACACGTGATTGTAACCAAAACGATGTGGTTGTTTTGGTTGTTCGTCCCCGTAGTGTGTGTGTGTGCCCTGCTAAGCGACTTCCTCCCTGGGGTTGGGTATGTTTGACAGGAGTTCCGACGGCTCTCACTACCACGAGACAAATGTAATAAACCACTCAATTTCTTTTTCTCGTCAATCCTATCAAGGTGGTAAAGGTTATTTGTCCTTGGTGGTGTTCTTGTTTTTTGAAGGTTAACTAAACTTCCTATGAGAGATTTACAAAAGAGTAGAAGCAAAGACGGATTCCTTTTTGTTTATTTCATCTCCTGATCCCAAGCTCATTCTTCTGTTCTGGGTTGCCGGATTAAGTTTCCAGTAACCGAAGATTTGTGTGTTGTATTTTAGTGATCACAACTAGAGACAGGGAGGTGAAAGAATGCAGTAAAGTAGTCACATGTATTCTCCCGTGTTCAGATGGGGAAAGAATTTACATACAAACCTGTGGGAATATGAGTCGAAGCGTGTGTGGTGGGGTTTTAAGAGATGATCCTTCATGTGTGGGGTGATGAGGAGGTGTGTGTGGGGGAGGGGAGGGGGCCGTGTATAATAGTGATGGGAGACGCTGGTAGGGCGGTGCGTATTTGTGTACCGGGCGGGGCCACATCGCTGTCTGCTGCCACCCGCCACTATATACCTACCCGGGTCCCCTACCTAGCACCGTCACCACCGTCTCTACCCATCGCAGCTTCTCCTCTTCAGTACTAGACCCTGTGAACTGGATGCGTTTTTTTTTTCGAATAAGATATTTTAAGCGATTATTAAGTGTTGGGGGACATTATATACCGTATATAATTATTATCTAAAGTTTGCCATCTCCAAGACTCGGTCAGTGATGAAGCTTCCGGCATGACAACCTGATATACCAATCTGTTGCAACTTTACAGCTACCAGATCAACATAATCACTATAACTGGGTTGATGACTCTGTGTTTTGGGTATAATTTGGGACGATTCTCTTGAGATTTATATCACGTGCGGTTATCTGTTTAAAGTTTCAGCCTGAAATATACTGAGGGTGACGTGTGTGATGGCCCATAAAGGTGTGTCTAAGAATGTTACTGCCGGTGGATGATGGTTCAACGATGCTGTGGTGGCGCTTCTATAAACCTGTCTCCTCGTTAATGGCTGATGAGTGGACGTAGTGGGTGTGTTAGATCGGTTCCTCTTGAGTGAAATTGGTGTAACTCTGTCAATATTTTGTTTATATTTGATGATTTAAATTAATTCTCTCACGCTAAACATGTATTAAATTGGTTACTGAGATAGTGAAGTGGTAATATAGTTTACCTGGCACTATCGAGGTTAATTACACGTGTGAGGGATGTAGTGGTGATGGTGGTGTTAACTCTCCTGGTCGCACCTCTGACTAATGCTTGGTCTTGGAGGTTGTGGTGTGAGTTATGAACACCACCATACTAGGCACTGGTAATGAATGGCCTCCTCCGTTCATGGTTGGGGCTCACACGTGTAGGTAGTTGGGTGAGTGTGGTGTTGAAGGAGTGGGTATAGGATATCTCAGGACGTGTGAATAGGAGACGAACTCTGTATCCACTACGTTGCCACATCCTATATCCTTATAACAAACAATATATAGTGAATATATATTACGGTGTTGTTGTATCACGTGTTGTAATATTTGTGTATACTGTTGGTAGTTGTGGTCGTTGCCGTTGTTCATCTTCTGTGCTTGTTATCTTGGCTTGTAAATTACATAGGACACGTGTAGTTTGTTAGTGTTCCTTGGCTTGATTTAAACACAATTAGTAGTTTTCTAGTTATAATAATGAGGTAATGTC